TCATCTCTTCCATCTCCAAGACTTCACTTATCTTCTCGAAGCATGCCTTTTTCTGCAGCTTGTCCGTTGGGGAATATCGTTTTAACGAAAATGCCAGTGTTGCCTTTAGGAGAATCGCGCCCTCCCACGATTGAAAAGCCCAACCCTTTCTTGCCAGCACCTTCCTCGAAGGCGACGGTGTGGAAGGAGAGAGAGAGAGAGCGACTTGGGGCGCCGTGGCATCGTTGAAAGCGACACTGGGCGCACTGTCCGCGGAACCTGTTGCATTATAATTATTATTAATGACAACGAAATTGTAAGCAATATTAGCGAATGCTGTCAACTCGAGTGCGGTGGAAGCGATCCATGGCTACTCTGTATGCAATTTATAAATTGTACCACATTTCTTATTTCATGTAATACTTATGTCTATCGTGGTCCGAAGCAAAGGATTTATTCTAATATAAGGATCGTCAATGATTCTACAAAGTAAGGGCCAAACTAAAGCATTTGGAGGTGCAGGTGCATAGCTGCTGGTAGCTCTAGTCTTTGCGACGAGATCGTGCCAATAACATTACAATTAATAAACAACTACTCGTAATTTAATCTCCAGACAAGCCAAAGATTCAAGTCATTCTTGTTTGATTGATCACATGACACGAGATTATCGATTTAACTTAATAAGAAAGAAGCCGTTCATATTATGCTCACATGAAAATACTATTTTAGAAATTTATCGATTTGTAATGACAACTAACGCATCGCTGATTGTGGCAGTCTGGCGATGCTCCGTTTACAAAAATTCCGGACGTCAGAGCAGCGCTCGGAAGGCTTTCCTAGTTTCCGTCATTTGCTCCTGGGGATATACGCAGCGGCGCAGCTGATGTAGACTGAGGAGATTCCTTAGATGTGCACATAAGTTGCGTCCCTGTGTAAAATAACGAGTGTAAAATTAAAGTAAACAAAATCTAACGTAAAACTTGCAAAATATTTTGACATTTTTTTGTAACAAGCGTATTAGAATACTATTTAAATTTTTAACGTTTAAAATATGACGCGGTAGAATTCACAATCAGATGCATCAACTGAATTGGAAAGAGTGACACTAAAATTTAGTGTCACTCTTTCCAATTTAGTCACTCTTACTGACTAAATTAAAAAAAATGGCCGTGAACACATTTATTAGCATAGTCTGATTCTGACCATTGATCAATGCCGAGGCGTTAGTCCGAAACGCTGTACGTTCCGTTAATATTGAAGGTTTGCTTGAATTTTGCTCGTTGGCGTGAATTCTCGCCGCACGCTGCGCGTCCATCTCTTCAGCGCAACATTTTTTCAATTGAGAACACCTGAGGGCACCGTCCAGGTGTGATGGTGTTTTAATGACATTCGTAGGGGTTTGTCTGGATTGAAGGGAGATATCTTTAGTGTTTTTTCCATCGTATGAAGCATAGTCTCTGTGCTGTAAGCGACCGGACTGCCTCACCAACGTAGCTCCAGGAGCCGAACTGATTTGAACATCACGCATTGACGTGCACTCGTTCACGAGACTTGCAGGGGATGAGCACGATGGTATCCTAGCTACAACTACGTCCACTTCCAGCGCAGGGCTGGCTAATAATTTTCTTGCCTCCATCAGCCCCATGCTGCGAAGTCGCGTTCCTCCAACATTAATTATTTCGTCGTTGACTCGAAGACGACCGTCTCTGCCGCACGATTTTTAAAATCAGTGATTAAAATTCGATGGTTCGCTTATCAACACTTATCCGTCGCTGACAAGACAATGTGAAACGTAACTTCTTACGAACTTCTGGTAGTTTAAAAGCGTTGACCAAAATATCGAATAAGAGTTCAAAGATTTGTTTCCTAAAAAAACTAAGAATTATGCTAAGAATCGTAAAAAAAACATCTAAAACATGATGCAAAACTATTGATAAAATTTCAAAAAAATTAGATTATCTAATAAAGATCATAATTTATTGAGCGCAAAATTCAAGATGAAACTTGACTTTGAAAACAAAGGCACGAAACATATCACGTCAGATATGCAATGGGTTAGATCAATCGCTAGGTCCTGTTATAATTATTAGCGTCCGTACCTGTCGGTGAGACCCCCGGGTTTGATAATGTGGATAAAGTAGCCTTCGTTTCGGCGGCCAACGATCTGCAAGCCAAGGTCTTCCGTTGGGTGTTCCTTCACAAGACGAACTAGACGGAAAGTTTTGCTCGCCAGTGCCGACTGAAATAGCAAATTTTCCAGTGTATGACCTTAGTATATACTTGCNGTTCAATAGTGTTCAATAGCCACTATTGAATACTATTGAACACTTTCAAATAGTGTTCAATAGTGTTCAATAGTGCTCAATAGTGTTCAATAACCACTATTGAACACAATTGAACACTTTCAAATAGTGTTCAATAGTTTTCAATAGTGTTCAATAGTGTTCCATAGTGTTCAATAGTGTTTAATAGTGTTCAATAGTGGTTTGAAACGAACTCACAATGATGAACTCACAATATGTTTCATAAAACTCACACTATTCGAGAACGCAAAATAAGACAGCAGGGGATCAAGGTCAGTAGCCGATCAAAAATAGGCCAGGTACGTATGTTTTTTTTTTTTTTTGTTGTTGTTGTAACTCAAGCATGTTCCTATTACCTGGGTTCCTGGGGCTGTACAATCAATACTCGCTTTCGTACACGCCAGGGTCATAAGTACACGCTGTGGCCGATTTTTTGTCTATGATTGATTGATTGGTGGATTTTGATTGAGTGGCCTTCAGTGATTGGCAAACGGAGTTAGGAACTCGTAACTATTTTTTGAAAGTTTGGCTGTAAGAAAACTTTTACGTCACATGATTCATAACTTGTATTTCATTAATTAAGACAAAATTGAATTAATGGAATTCTGAGTAGTACCTTCTACTGTCGATGCTAATTTCCAGTACCCAAATCTTACCTGCACACGTGTCCAGAATCGTGAGTTAGACTTTTGTCTTTTTCTTCGATTATTTATTTTTTATTATTTTTACAACGTCCTTTTGTGAGAAATTTTTTGGTGCTAAGTTTGGTTACAGCTTTTAATAGACTTTAATTTAGTTTGATGAGATAATGACATCAGATCGCGATGATGACATCAGTTCACTGGTCCCCAGATACGCTCGAGCTGCACAAGCGTGCTGGTCGTCGGCGCCGGCAAAGGGGTGCTGGAGCCGCGGCTCGCTCTGTGCGCTCTCCTGCACAAGTCCGGCATCAGGGCTGAAACATCGCGAAAAATGAACCCCAAGTTCCTCAGTCAACTGCAGGCAAGTTCTACAATTGTCTGCTTCAAATTTATCTAAAATCTGTACTCGGCGACAGTTTTCCTTAACTAAGAATTAATTGTTAAAATGTACGCTGAAATAAGACTTATTTTAGCCCAAGTATACCTTAAGAAAGTGTAACTCTTAAGTTTTTAAAACGTTTTTAACACGTTTTTCTTAGCTTAGCTTCGCGTTTGTTTGTTTGTTTATTTGTTTGTTTGTTTGTTTGTTGTTAACATTGACAACGAAAATTAGCCCACTTCTAATTGCTCTAGAGATCTAAAATTCGGCATGCAGGCTATTTCCGCCTAACAATTTCAGATACAATCATAATATTGTTCGCCCCAAAAATACGTGTGTCGGGCAGATTTATGATTAAAGCGAAAAGCGCACAACACACGAATTTTGGAAATTTGATGGTGAACGTACAGCCCGACCCACGTTTTTTTGGGGCCAACAATAATTTATTTTCTACTTTTTAGTCCACAAGAAAAACGTGTTTTTTTTTAAAGTTTTTTTAAGTATTTTATTTTCTACTTTTTAATCCACAAGAAAAACGCTGCGTATCATCGATACGTACGTCAAGTCATACTTAATCAAGTCTTAATCGTTTTTCTTGTGAACTAAAAAGTAAGTACGTTCACCATCAAATTTCCAAAATTTAAGTGTTGTGTGCTTTTCGCTTTAATCATAAATCTGCCCGACACACGTTTTTTTGGGGCGAACCATAATTTATTTTCTACTTTTGAGTCCACAAGAAAAACGTGTTTTTTAAAAGTTTTTTTAAGTATTTTATTATTGAGTCAAGATGCCAGCCATTATTCTGAAAAACGTTCCAAGAGCCATAACAGTTCCTGCAACCTCTGACGCTATCTGGCACAATGTAACTCGCTTCAAAAGGTACTGGCTAATACCTATATGATAGTGACTCAAGGCTACATTTAAGCTTAAAGATACGCTTAACTTCGCTTCCTACGTTGCCAATAAATCGTTGTGTGACCTGCAAACGCTTAACTGACCAACAGAGAATGTCTGAGGTAAATATTGTCATGATAAAAATAAAATTGTGATTTGACTATCTGCGTCATAGTGGAACCCGATAATGGCTCATTGTAATCCTTCCAGTTTTTCTGAAGTGCTTGAAGACTTTCAACTTCATGCCAAAAAAATACAAGTTCGAGATTATATGTTCTTTTAATTTGTTCATTAGTTTCGCCTCCAGAAAATCACGGTTATATTATGGTTGTTTTAAACGAGCAGCACGCAGAAGAACATGGCATCCCGGTGGTGGTGGGGGTGGGAGAGAGCGAAGTGCAGGAAGGAGTTGTGAACGTTCGCTGCACCGCCACTCGACAGGAGACCCAGGTGCCTCGCGTCCAACTTGTTGCTCATCTCCAGCAGCTGCTTCCTACCCTTGAAAAATTGTAACTTTTGCCCCCTGAAATAGTTTTTTTTTTCAAATGGGAAATCGTCTGCTCTCAACTCTCGTACTATAATAATAACTACGTACACTGTCTCTGCCTCTGTAATATAGAGGTTCTCCATGAACGTTTCAGTTGGTATATTTTTCTCCTGACTCGCCTAACTGTTGTTAGAAAATTCTTGCCCTGTCTAACATCAACAATTTCACGACGGTAGGTAGTACTTGAGTTGAAATAAATTTTCGTCAACTTCCATACAGAAGGTCTTGCTGAGAAAGTTTTTCCAACTTATCGTTCACGATTCTTTCAATTCACTCAAAAAGTTATTTATCTAAATTTCTAACACAAGGCAGCGGGAATATCAGGTTTGATCTGCTACTGATCGAAATGTTTTACCATTCCAATAACCGTTGGTCGCGATCGTGTCATCTTTTTGCTTACATTGTGTGTCTTGTGCAAGTTTTATTTAATTACTCTTCTCGAATGTGAAATTTACCATTCGTTCAAAAAACTTCTATAAGAAAATGAGAAGTCATTACTCATGGACACTTCTTAAATCCGGTATCAATTACTTAATATCTTCATTCCCAAATTTTGCAAGTTCAGGCATCTGCATGTCTTAAAATGTGTGTTTAGCCATTCTGCGTCACTGTAAAATTCAGATTGTGAAAATCGAATTAGTTTGGCGTTCGGAATCGTAAGAAGTGTTACAGTCACCATAATTATGAGAGGGTTGGCTTGCTGTTAACTTTTGTTATGAATTATAATCATCACTGTATAAGGAAGTATTTGGTTCTGTTTTCTTGTAATTATCAATCGCATCTGTACAATTTATTCGACATCCTCAACTCCGGACGACGCAATTCAAATGCCTTGGAGTGTTTACCTCTCCCTGAAGAATGAGACACAGTCTAGCAATCTGAGCTGTGCTGGCCTCCCTTCAACAGTAGCCCCCCCAATCCAAAGGAAAAAGAAAACCCAGCTGTCCCAGCAAAAAGGTAAAAGCAACTAATGGCATCCACACAGTTGTCTGAGTTCTCAATAATCTCACTTAACTGCAATAGCATCTACCCACATCTTGCAGAAATAAAACTGTTGCTGTAAGTGTACTCCCAGAAACCAAGCATTATGTGACTCTCAGAAACTTGGACTCAAAATAACTATTTACCAGCATTTCATGGCTACACCCCATTCTGGTGTCACAGAGATGGTCGAGGAGGAGGCCTGTGCACCTTAGTCAAGAGGTCTTTATTTGCTCAAGAAATATCCCTACATAGGTACCCGGCAGGCTACCTGGAAGTTCAGGCCATCAGGCTCTGCCTTAGAGACAATAGTCACATCACCATCATGAATGTATACAATCCAAACAAACCAATGACATATAATGAAATATCTTTTTATGTAAATCAACTGTCCCCCACATTCATTATAGTAGGGGACTTTAATGCACATCATAGTCTGCTTTCCTCCAATTGCTTGCGCCCAGATGTAGCAGGACGCTCTTTGGAGGACCTCATAATGAACACCTCTGCAGTATTACTAAATGACACAGACTTCTATACATATATTGACAGACGCAGTGGAGCGAGGGGGTGCCTGGACTTGGTCCTTGTTTCTGCTGACATTGCACCACTCTTTGAACTAAAACTACTACAGGATGTTGGCAGTGACCAGTTGCACCTACCCGTAGAGCTGCGGTAGTCCTGGCCCGACTCCGCCAGGGCCATGTAGGCCTTGGTGCATATTTATTTCGCTTTGGTATGTCACCCTCTCCAATGTGTGGCAACTGCAACGTGGAAGATACAATTGAGCACTACCTTCTCATCTGTGGATTGCATCGGGAAGCTCGGCGGCAGCTGGAAAATGCGGTGGCCACCTACGGTATAGATAATCAGTTGAAGTAATTTTGATGACAAATTAATTCAGAATTTTTTTTGCTTGATCATATTTTGTACGCAATTCCTCGAATTAAAATGAATAGGCCTATCTCTCTTCCTGGCCAGCAATCGCTCTAGACACTCGAATCAGCTTAATAATAAGAACGGGAATTATTTGGTCTCCTAGTGCTGTGCGCAGTGTATTTCCGAATAGATCTTGGTTCAACATCATTCTGATGGGGTTGTAGCAAACAATTTTGATGTTATGTACTTATTATACATCAAAAAACCTGTTGAGTAGACTGCGCATCCCTGCGGATGGGCATGTAGCGATAGTTGAATCGTTTTTCTATCAAGTTGGTTGCTTTGCGGCATGACACCGTTCACAAATTTAGAAAGCTTCTTTTTTTCGGTATATTATCAAGTCATGATAGTCTCCTGCCAAAGTTCATATTCCTAATCCTCTGTGGTTTCTTGTAATTATGGAATAAAATGAACAATTCTGAGAGTACTCGGTCTCCTAAATAAGGTTGGCAATATTTCAATTAACTTGCCAAAATACGTTTCATATTCATTGTCCCATTTGTAGCGATTAATTAAATAGGGTGCTTTTCGATATTAATATATTACGACTAGTCATAAAGTGGGCTTAGTCTGGCACTCTAATAGAAGTAAGACAAAAATTAAATAATTGAAATCAGGCAGTGTCATCTGAACATGATTTCTAGTCATTGTTACAGTTGGCGCCCAAATTGAATTTATGGTTGCTTGTTATTGTTTTCAGTCTGGAGTGATGAAATTACTTCGTTCCTCAGGACTCCAAAGATCGGGTCAACGGGGTCATTGGGTGTGGGGACTGGGGTTGGGTATTAGGAAACATTACCTGTCAATAAATTGTCTACTTTTATTGTAGAGGTGTTAATTTTTCTCACTTGACTATCGTCAGTCATGAAAAAAAGATCCGGTCAAATGACACGATTTTAGATCTTCCAGACTTCTGTGAACAAGGCACGAAAATGAAAAGAATTGGCGACAAGCCACATCAGGCCTACACTTCAGCGCTGACATCACAATGTTATGTTATCTGGTTTACATCAGTAAGTTAGTTACCTCCTGCAGTCCTGCGTACTGGCTAGTGGCTACCTTCTCTTGGCCCTTGGGCAAACAAATAATGGGCAGTTGGGCTTGGACTTAGAGTGTGCCAGTGTAGACTCAAAAAATGTGATAATTCTAGATAGAAAATAATGGAGTCTTATCTCGACAGATCAGTCATCAAGATTCAAGACAAATGCAGTATATAGCAAAACATAGCCACATACTTGGCTATCTGCTAAGTGCTACTAACTGCTCTCTCAGCCTGTCTGTGCAAACAGTGCTGACAGTGACACTGGTCAGTGGTCACTGCTGTGCTGTGTGTGGCAACTCACTGGTTATTAATGGTGGAAATTTACACTAGAGATTTTTGACTTTCATTATGATTTGACTTAGGTTTATTTCAAATTATAATTAGAGGCAGTGAGGCACCAGACGCACCTCACTCCTTACTCACGGTCACGGAGTCCTTAGTGAGTTAGTCCTCATTAGTCATTAAGTCCTCAGGGCTCAGCCACTCAGGCTATGCTGTGACTGATGGCCATTGTTCGGGTATCCGTAATTCCGTATAGTTGGTGGCGGCAGCCTGCCCGGCAGGATTGGAATTTTTTTCTACTTGTTTCTGAAATAGGCCATATTGCAGCTCCAATGTAACAAATTTTCAATATATTTGGAATCTTGCAAGGTTGCAACCTGATCATCATCATGCAATTCTATTAATAATTTAATAGGAGGTAATTTATTTTGCAGGAATCTTGCCGCATGCTGCTTGCGGTTCCAGAAATGGTGAAAAAGCTCTATTGGCATTTGGCATTTGTGGGATAGTAAACTAGAATTGGTGGCTGAGAGCCTGGGTAACCTGGGTTGAATTCACTTATTCAGGAGAGAAAATAGATAAACAAGCTTGAAGCTTGTAATGTAATGAATCAAAATTAGGAGTCACTCTGTACCTGTTACCTGTACCTGTACTCCTGTTAGTCCTGTAGAGTGTAGAATAGTTGAGCGACAAGAGGAGTACTGGGTATAGTGTATCATATTTGTATGGGTACAAAATTTGTGCAATTTTTGCAAGACTTCTCTTTAACTTCACTTTCTTGTTTGTTTGTCTGTCTGCTACAATCTTATAATCAATATTTAACATACTTATAACTGAAATTTTGCACACTTTCATACAAATGGAGACAATGCATGAATCAATTGACAGAATAAATAATTAAAAAAAACATTTTTCAATATTGAAAAAAGTTTAAAATAATTTTGTCTGCTACAAATCTTATAATCATAATTTAACACACTTCTACCTGTCCAAGCAATATGAAATTTTGCACACTTGCATAAAGTCGGAGACAATCCATGAATCAATTGACAGAATAAATAATTACATAAATTGAAAAATTTTATTTTCAATAATCAAAAAAATTTCTAAATAATTTTGTGTGCTACAAATCTTATAATTCATATGCAAAGCACCAGCTGAGAAAGAAGGGAAGAATCTTAAAATGAGAAAATGAAGACTTGAATTAGATAATAATTGCCAAGTCTAGGAGTAACAAGCAGTCCACACATCATGACACATGACTTCTTCAGTTCTTCTACACCTTCAAACCAACATAAAATCAAATCAATCCATATTTGATACACTTCTAGCTGTCCGATCAATCTGAAATTTTGCACAATTGCATAAGGTCAGAGACAATGCATGAATCAGTTCACAGAATAAATAGGGTAATTTTGAAAATTTACAAAATTTTTATATATTGAAAAAATTTTGGAAATTAATTTTTTTTTAACATATGAAAATAAAATTAGAAATTCATTGTAGATGTGTAACATCAAAGACACTGGACTAATCAGAAATGTTGTTTTTAAAAAGTAATTTTTAAACACATATTGTTATTAGCACATACTTTTTGTGATACAAAAAGTTTCATAGTAAATGAATAAAATATATCTTTTTCTTGCATTTGTGAGTTATCTTGTGCCTCATGGTACTCTAAGAGGCTAAGAGCCATCAACACAGTTTTTCCAAGGCAAGAACTTTTTGAGCTATATTGTTATCTTTTTTTT